GTGGATGGAGTAGGCAGGTGGGTGTTTGGAAGGGCAAAGTGGGATCAGTTTCAGGAGCTGAGTGAGCAGGTGATGGCTCGGGTGGATATGAGAGTGGATGTAGATAGTATGAATAACTGGGTGAGAACAGCGTTAGTGGGGGCAGCTACTGAGGCTATACCTAAGAGTTCAGGGAGGAGGAGGAGGAGAGCAGTCCCATGGTGGACGGAGGAGTGTGGGGTAATGGTGAGGATTAAGAACAGGGCAATTAGAATACTGAAAAGGACGCATAACTTCCAACATCTGATTCAGTATAAGCAGGCCCAGGCCATGGTGAGGAGAACTATCCGTCAGGCAAAGAGGTCATGTTGGCATCGGTTCTGTGACACCATTGGAAGGGCGACACCTGTGGGAGAAGTGTGGGGGATGATTAAGAGGATGAGTGGGGTCAGAAGGGAGTGGGATTATCCAGTGTTGACGAGTGGGGAGGATGTGGCAGTAACGGATGAGGAGAGAGCAGAGATGATGACCAAAGCATTTGTCCAAGTGCATAGCTCCGCAAATCTGTCAGAGGAGAGGCAGAGGGGGGAGAGAGGAGCATCCTGGAGTGCTGGAAAGGAGGGAGAATGTACAGTGAGGGGAAAAAAGTATTTGATACCCTGCTGATTTTGTACGTTTGCCCACTGACAAAGAAATTATCAGTCTATAATTTTAATGGTAGGTTTATTTGAACAGTGAGAGACAGAATAACAACAAAAAAATGCAGAAAAACACATGTCAAAAATGTTATAAATTGATTTGCATTTTAATGAGGGAAATAAGTATTTGACCCCCTCTCAATCAGAAAGATTTCTGGCTCCCAGGTGTCTTTTATACAGGTAACGAGTTGAGATTAGGAGCACATTCTTAAAGGGAGTGCTCCTAATCTCAGTTTGTTACCTGTATAAAAGACACCTGTCCACAGAAGCAGTCAATCAATCAGATTCCAAACTCTCCACCATGGCCAAGACCAAAGAGCTCTCCAAGGATGTCAAGGACAAGATTGTAGACCTACACAAGGCTGGAATGGGCTACAAGACCATCGCCAAGCAGCTTGGTGAGAAGGTGAGAACAGTTGGTGTGATTATTCGCAAATGGAAGAAACACAAAAGAACTGTCAATCTCCCTCAGCCTGGGGCTCCATGCAAGATCTCACCTCGTGGAGTTGCAATGATCATGAGAACGGTGAGGAATCAGCCCAGAACTACACGGGAGGATCTTGTCAATGATCTCAAGGCAGCTGGGACCATAGTCACCAAGAAAACAATTGGTAACACACTACGCCGTGAAGGACTGAAATCCTGCAGCGCACGCAAGGTACCCCTGCTCAAGAAAGCACATATACAGGGCCGTCTGAAGTTTGCCAATGAAAATCTGAATGATTCAGAGGAGAACTGGGTGAAAGTGTTGTGGTCAGATGAGACCAAAATCGAGGTCTTTGGCATCAACTCAACTCGCCGTGTTTGGAGGTGGAGGAATGCTGCCTATGAACCCAAGAACACCATCCCCACCGTCAAACATGGAGGTGGAAACATTATGCTTTGGGGGGGTTTTTCTGCTAAGGGGACAGGACAACTTCACCGCATCAAAGGGACGATGGACGGGGCCATGTACCGTCAAATCTTGGGTGAGAACCTCCTTCCCTCAGCCAGGGCATTGAAAATGGGTCGTGGATGGATATTCCAACATGACAATGACCCAAAACACACGGCCAAGGCAACAAAGGAGTGGCTCAAGAAGAAGCACATTAAGATCCTGGAGTGGCCTAGCCAGTGTCCAGACCTTAATCCCATAGAAAATCTGTGGAGGGAGCTGAAGGTTCGAGTTGCCAAACGTCAGCCTCGAAACCTTAATGACTTGGAGAAGATCTGCAAAGAGGAGTGGGACAAAATCCCTCCTGAGATGTGTGCAAACCTGGTGGCCAACTACAAGAAACGTCTGACCTCTGTGATTGCCAACAAGGGTTTTGCCACCAAGTACTAAGTCATGTTTTGCAGAGGGGTCAAATACTTATTTCCCTCATTAAAATGCAAATCAATTTATAACATTTTTGACATGCGTTTTTCTGGATTTTTTTGTTGTTATTCTGTCTCTCACTGTTCAAATAAACCTACCATTAAAATTATAGACTGATTATGTCTTTGTCAGTGGGCAAACGTACAAAATCAGCAGGGGATCAAATACTTTTTTCCCTCACTGTAAATGATGCGTTGAGTGCACCATTTACCAGGGCAGAGGTGAAAAGGGCAATAGGTAAGGCTGGGTTAACTTCACCTGGGAAAGATGAGGTGTGCTATGTTATGTTGGCCCATTTTAGTGATGTGGCACTGGGTAAGGTATTGGTGTTGTACAACAGTGTGGGAGGAGAGGAAACTACCAGGCAGTTGGAAGGAGGCAGTAGTGGTACCAATCTGGAAGCCCGGGAAGGATCCAACAAAGCCAACAAGCTATCGGCCAATAGCTTTAACATCACATGTATGTAAGATTATGGAACATATGATTACGGAGAGGCTAACTTACTTCCTGGAGAGCAGAGGGCTAGTAATGCCATATCAGAGTGGGTTCAGGAAGGGTAGGAGAACTATGGATCCAGTGCTCTGCTTAGAAGCAGAGGTCAGGAAGGCTCAGGTGAACAAGGAAACTGTTGTAGCTGTCTTTTCTGATGTGGAGAAGGTGTATGGGGGATATGCCGTTGCAGATTAGGAGACAGCAGCTGGCAATGAATTATTGGGTCAACCTACAAGGACATGGGGTGTCTCACCCTGCGAAAGGGATTTTACAGGCATGCTGGGAACATGAGCGAAGACTGAACACAAGCTTTGGGTGGGTGGGTAATACCCAGGCGAAGGTGATGGGACTGTATGGAAGGGAGTTTAGTCCAACGGTAGTTATTCCTGTAAATCCACCATGGCTACTCCCGCCTCCAGTAGTTGATCTAGAAGTGTTGGAAAGACTACAGAAAGATAGGGAGGGGGTTGATCCAGCTGATTTCTTTGAGACGTCTGGAAACTGTGTATCAGGATTTTGTGGACATTTACACAGATGGTTCAAAAGATCCAAGGACAGGACGTACTGGGTCAGCATTTGTAGTGCAGGAGTGTGGGGTGGAAGTCAGGAAACGTATTACAGATCATCTGGCTGTATATACGGCGGAGCTGATGGCCATACTGTTGGCCTTGCAGTGGGTGGAGGAAGTTAAGCATGACAGAATAGTTATTTGCTCGGACTCAAGTGCAGTGTTAATGAGTCTCCAGTCCTTTAGCTCACGTAGCAGACAAGACCTGCTTTATGAGGTGCTACAAACCCATGGCAGGATTAAACAGATGGGTATTCAGATAAGATTTACTTGGGTTCCAGCCCATGTGGGGGTGGAGGGGAACGAGGCAGTAGATGAACAGGCTAAACAAGCACTTAGTAGTGGGGATGTTGATGTTGAAGTGTCAATGAGCAAGGCAGCGGCAAAAAGACTGATATATACAGTGATGGTGCAGAGATGGCAGGAGCACTGGAATATAACTATTAAGGGAAGGCATTTATTTCAGATACAGAGGAAGGGGAGTATGGCAGGAAGGGACAGAAGAGAGCAGGCTATTTTTACAAGATTAAGGGTGGGACACAGCCAGTTGAATAAGACATTAAACATGGTAGGAAAGCATCCATGAGGAAAGTGTGATTGTCAGGAAATAGAGACTGGAGCATGTATTGCTAAAGTGTGGGCAGTATCAGAGGGAAAGCGAGAGGATGAGATTTAGTATGAGGGAGAAGGGGATACAGGTAATTAGTTTAAAGAGTATATTGAGCAGAACGTCATTACATATAGTCTCAAATATTTTGTTATCTTTTTTAAGAGAAACGGGGTTGGCAGGTAGGACTCTCCTTCCAGACTCACATTAAGAATCTCCAATCCAAAGTTAAATCTAGAATCGGTTTCCTATTTCGCAACAAAGCCTCCTTCACTCATGCTGCCAAACATGCCCTCGTAAAACTGACTATCCTACCGATCCTTGACTTCGGCGATGTCATTTACAAAATAGCCTCCAACACTCTACTCAGCAAATTGGATGTAGTCTATCACAGTGCCATCCGTTTTGTCTCCAAAGCCCCATATAATACCCACCACTGTGACCTGTACGCTCTTGTTGGCTGGTCCTCACTACATATTCGTCGCCAAACCCACTGGCTCCAGGCCATCTATAAATCACTGCTAGGCAAATCCCCGCCTTATCGTAGCTCATTGGTCACCATAGCAACACCCACCCGTAGTCTGCGCTCCAGCGGGTATATCTCACTGGTCATCCCCAAAGCCAACACCTCCTTTGGCCGCAATTCCTTCCAGTTCTCTGCTGCCAATGACTGGAACAAATTGCAAAAATCTCTGAAGCTGGAGACACTTACCTCCCTCACTAACTTTAAGCATCAGTTGTCAGAGCACCTTACCGATCACTGCACCTGTACACAGCCCATCTGAAATTAGCCCGCCCAACTACCTCATCCCTATATTGTTATTTATTTTGCTCATTTGTACCCCAGTATCTCTATTTGCACATCATCTCTTGCACATCTATCATTCCAGTGTTAATACTAATTGTAATTATTTTGCACTATAGCCTATTTTATTGCCTTACCTCCATAACTTGCTAAATTTGCACACACTGTATATATATGTATTTCTGTTGTATTTTTTTTGACTTTGTTTTGTTTTACCCCATATGTAACTCTGTGTTGTTGTTTTTATCGCACTGCTTTGCTTTATCTTGGCCAGGTCGCAGTTGTAAATGAGAACTTGTTCTCAACTGGTTTACCTGGTTAAATAAAGGTGAGAAAAAAATAATAATAATAATAATAATTTAGTTTCTCCCTGTCTCTGGCCCACATTCCAGTACGGTAGGTGGCGGTAATGCACCATAATGTTGGATGCCAACCGCTCATAAACCCCACTGAAGAAGAGGAAGAAGAATAAGGAAGAACATGTGACGTATGCCGTTCGAGATGTTTCAGGTCAGTCGGACAACAACGCCGCTAACAGCACAAGCGACACTTATTTTGTAGCTAACGCTAGGTCAATTTGGCCAATAGCGCATATTTAGGAAGATTTGTAACTGCGTTATGATTTCGACAAAAATGTCAGTTTTTCAAGGACAGATTGGCTCCATTTTGGAGATAATGGTCAGCGCGACTGTTACAGAAATTAGCAAAGTTATCGAGGGTTCTGTATCGTCTGAAGTGCCATCAACGGGAGAGAACGCGAGTGAAACCCCAAACGAACAGGTATATCTGCTGATTGTGTAAAGTAAGGCATTTTGTTAACTAGCCCGCTAGTTAATTGCACCGACGTTGCAGCCTCCACTCCACCCAGGGGCGTAATCATTACGTCGAAGACGTTTACTCCAAACGGAAAACGCAAACGAGAGTTTGTATTTGACAAATTCAAGAAGAGTCATCCTCATTTCGTTATGTTTGGTTCTTAAAGATGCACTATGCAGAAATCTCTCCGCCATTTCCTGGTTGTTAAAATTCTGATAGTTCGCCTAATTTATAGTTTGTGACTAGACAAGCAAGTATAGTGTAGAGAATCATTGTTCCATCTAAACCGCTGTGAAATATTTTCCATAACCAAAAATATTGTATTTGCAGCGGTTTGTTGCTGGTGTATGAAAGTAAAAGAGTCAAAAACGAAACTTAAGCACGGGAAACATAGAAATAGCTCACATAAAACATGTACGGCTTCTTAGGCTTGCTTTCAATGAGAATGACCGATCAATGAGAATGGTAGATCAGGAGCCCATGCCTTTACAGCTGAATGAAGACTGTTTTAGGTATGACCCGGTCCACGGGGAGACCAGTGTATTGCCGGCTGCATACAATGCTTTTGGATGGTAAGACGAAACCATCAGTATCGCCATCTGATGGCCTTTGGGCTACATTCTAAACTGAAGACCATGATTAGTTGATTATTGGAGTCAGGTTTGTTAGTAGGGGCTGGGATCAAGTTTCGTAATGATTAGGTTGATATAAGTAGGACACGTGACATCCCGGCAACTTTGAGCTGTGCCTGGTGATCACTAGTTGCCACAGTCATAATCCCTGCCTATTTCTACAATTTATCTTCTTGTGATTTTAAAAGTCCTAACCTTAACTACACGGTGAACCTTATGCCTAACCTTAAATTAAAAGCACCATTTTGTTTTCATACATTTTTATGATTTTGCCAATTTAGACTTTGTGGCTGGGGTAACTAGTGGAAACCGTTATGCCTGTGAACAAGAGGCACGTCTGCCCTTTCATTGGCTAGAATGGTCCCACCTGATTTTGCCGCCTCCAGAATGCCTTCCATTTTTTATGATATTTATTTTCGTTGTTACAGCGGCCACTAGAGTATCTGGTCAATATAATAGATAATCTGTGCCATCCCTTAGCCCAGGCCCAGCATTATGTGCAGGCCTTAGGGGGCCTGGCCCACCCTACCGTACCTCCTTGCCCATCCAAATAAAATATTTAAATATTGATAATTTATATGACCAAGACGTGCCTAGAGAAAGACTCATCAACCTCAGATAAATCATCTGAGCGTGTGAAACGGCGCCCCTCTGTCTCAGTATGTGTAGCCCATGTATCTGATGCTGTCTGGACAAGAAGTATGGCATGTCATACTCTTTTTGACCAGACAACATCAGATACATGGGCTACATAGTAAGACGGTGCTTTTTCAATCGCTCTGATGCTTTCTCGGGTGAAATGGTAGTTTCAGCCACTTGCGAATTGAAGGGAAGTTGACGGGTGCACTGTTCGGATGCTGGAATTATTTTTGGACGAACGTGCAAAGGTAACCTACTTGAAGTGTATTGTTTGACAATCAGATGAAAGCAAGACTGGATGTGTTCATGCTACATTAAAAGGTAATACATTTTTACAGTTTAAATTACTTGTCTTTACTATAAAATCCACACTAGAACCGCTAAAGCAGTCATTTGGACTGCTCATGAATTTAAAAAATGTATTACTCTGCCATTTTTAAAGTCATGCCGCTCTCCGTCATTGACTATTCTTTGTTGTTAGAATCATATCACAAACAGAACTGGTATTATAACCAATTTTAGGAGGGCATGTCATTTAAAATGGTTTTCCCCTGTTGCCCCTCCTCCTGACAGTAGGGCCTGCGCCCCTCCCAATAGTTGAAGGTGCCGTGCCCAGTTGATAATCACCCTGATAATTGCCTCAACTGAACCTAAACCATACCAAAATCGAATTTTTCACTTATCACAACAGATGAAATAAATGAAGTAAAGTATGATGGGGGAGTTGAGGAACGAGGGGAAGTGGACGATGCATAATTATGTAATCACCAATTGTGAATGAAGAACAGGTCGGGCCATTCTATTGTATTGATCTATTCTAATTATAATCAGTCCACCGAATCCAAGCAGTCCTATCAGTCTACTCTGGCCTACTTGGAGTACAGTCAGCGAGGGCGTGCATCATTTACAATGGCATGAAGGCCAAGACAAATGGATGGACATGTTGCGTTAGCTTTGCTACCAAATCTGAATGAAAACATCTGATGGTGGGCGATAAATTAATCCTGATGACATCTGATGATTATTCTTCTGAGCCTCAGTCTGAATTTACACCTCCGAGGCCTAAGTGTCAAAAAGCCAGAACGGTGCGCACTGAGAGAGGAAGGGACGGCACCGTTTGCATAGAACAAGCCGGTGACAATGCTATGGGCAGATTATCAGCACAAAATGTTATCTCTGAGAGAGCAGTCCCTAAAAAACATTAGCAAAGAACTCATCAGCTTTCATTGTTTATGTGGCATTCTTTAATTGATGCCATTGCGTGAAGACGTACACCATGTAAGCACGAGCTGACAATAATTGACTATTTTTGACTGCTGACATATCGACACTTTTATATTCATTAAAAAGCCATTATTGCTTTTGTGCTGATCACAATTTATCAAGCACACCTGACGCTTATAATGATGTTTAGGCTACTGATGTTTTCATCATTTGACCGCGCATGTTGCTGACTGTGCGTCTTGGTTGTTGGGGTATTTTTTTATTTTGTTATAAAAAATTATGTTACTGTGTTCCAACACATATGCTTTCTTTTTCATAGTTATAACAAAGAGCCTCCACGAATACAATTGATTGAACACTTGAATTTGTGCATTTTGTGTTTTTTTTTTTTGTGTTTAAAAAAACATGCCCCCCTATGGAAATCAAATGCCCGTCCAACCGATTTGTTCTGGTGCTGCGGCCCTGCCTTAGCCTGGAGACATGACATTGAATTTCATTGGATTCCGCATCGGGCATAAATGAGCGTATGGATCAGGAAAGTTTCCTCTCACGACCTCTACAAGCCAGAATGTTAAATAAAATTATATTTTAACTTACTTTACCGGTTCTCTGTCCGGTAAAGTTAAAATGTTATTCAAAATTCTGGCTTGTAGAGGTCGTGAGAGGAAACCTTCCTGATTTCTAGGCTACCCATCCCTGATCTAGTGCTAAGTCTGGTTGATTTAGCTAATACATTACACTAGTACTTGCCACAGGGTTGGCTCAACTGGAAACATGTTTGTATAATTTAGAGCTACAAGCATTTATCATAATCACCAGAAAGACTTGTCAGCAACGTTTATAATGGTAGCTAGCTAGTTAAGTTTGTTCTGTGAATAATGAAATCTGTATGCCCTCAACTTGCTTTTGCTCTTTACTCAGTTGACCCAGTTGACCTCTTTCATGGAGATACTGGCAAAGGAGGCTGTGGACAAAATCTGCAAGCTATTCAACGAGTGCTCCTCCGTTCTGCATCTGGAAGTGTCTCAGAGTCAAACTGAGAATGAGGACTTGAAGAAGAGGCTGGACGCAGTTGAGACCGAACTGAGGACTGTCTTAGAAGGGAGTGGAGGACAAGAGAACACATCAGCCAATGGCTGCTGCAGTGAAGTCAAGATCACCCACCAGTTAAAAGGCACACAACCAGGTGAGCGTTGGCATTATTTAAGATAAGCCATCCATGGGATTTTAGAGTGCTTTGGTAGACTGTTACTAAAACCAGTGCTTTTGAATTAAATGCAAACCTTTTTGATTTTGACTGCAATCTTTTTCAGGCTTCTGCTCTGGTGATGCAGAAGTGAAACGATCCCCCATCCTCCACCTGTGGAAAGGGAGAATTCCCTCAACTGTAAACGAGGTAGGCTTATTTGCCTAACTGACAATATTCTGTGAGAGGTTTAGTTCTTGGAAAGCTGTCTGGAATTACTAGGGGGTACAGAAAGTAATAACCTATTTACTTGTCTGTATCTGTATCACTCAAGTATCATTATACACCATTTGGTACCAGGTAGTTACCAATTGTATTTAATTATTTGAAGTGAGTACAAGAAGAAGCATTTTATCCCTTTGTCATTATTTCTGTTGTTGTATGATATCATTATATTTAGATAAATAGATAGATAGATCAGACAATAAACCTGCGTTCCATTAAATCACTTTCCCTCTCATCTCAGCACTCGAACATGGAGGACACGATCCAGTCAGTTATTATCAAAGAAGAAAGGTTCGAAGATTACCTGTACAACAGCACCTCAGACCCAAGTCCTTTTATAGAGAGCCAATCCCAGGAGTTGAGTGACCCAGAGAACCCCTCAGAGGAGCCAAAGGACAAAGACTGCGCCGCGGGGCCAAAGCATTTGAGAAAGCCAAAGATCATTGGGGCTCGTCAGGCAAGGCCCAAAAAGGAGAACCACCTTAGCTGCAAACACTGCAGGAAGACATTCAGCAAACTGATCCAGCTGAAAGCTCACCAGGCGATCCATGCAGCAGCGGAGAAACCTTTTATCTGCAAGCAGTGTGGTAGAGGTTTTTCCTTTAAACGCAGTTTGGATGCACACCAGCTGCTTCACACAGGAGAGCGACCACACACCTGTGGCGATTGTGGTAAAGCTTTCACCCTAAAGCAGCTGCTCAAGAATCACCAGAGACTCCATGCAGGGTTGAGACCGTTCCGCTGTGACGAATGTGGCAAGAGCTTTAACCGGGCCCACGGTCTCAAGATGCACCAGATTGTCCACACGGGAGAGAGGAAATACAACTGTGAGATCTGCAAGAAGAGTTTCAGTATACCAGGAAATCTCCAGAGGCACCAGCGTATACACACTGGTGAGAAACCGTTCCGTTGCGATACGTGCGGCAAAAGCTTCAACCAAGCAGACACTCTGAAAGGACACCAGCGGATCCACACAGGAGAGAGGCCATTTACCTGTGAGACGTGCGGGAAGTGTTTCATTCAAAGAAGTGCACTGAAAATGCACCAAAGGACACATGCAGGAGAGAGCGCCTTCCTCTGTGTGGTGTGTGGGACAGTCCTGGCTTGCGTCAACTCTCTCAAGACACACCTTCAGACTCACACAGCAGAGATGCCTTGTAGGTGCTCAGTGTGCGGTAGTAGTCTCAGTTCACTCACTCATCTCAAATCGCACCAGCAACTCCACACTATTGAGAAGCCGCACAGCTGTGGCCTATGCAACAAGAGCTTCAAGACGGTCAGCTACCTGAACATACACATGAAAACTCACACTGGGGAGAGACCGTTCACCTGTGACGTGTGTGGAAGGATGTTCACTCAACACAGCAGCCTGAAAACCCACCAGGTGGTCCATACTGGGGAGAAACCTTTCAGCTGTGAAACGTGTGGGAAATGTTTCAGCAACACTGGGAACCTCAACAGGCACCAGCGGATACACACTGGAGAGAAGCCTTTTAGCTGTGACCTCTGTGGGAGGAGCTTCAACCAGGGCAACAGCCTCAAAGCCCACAAACAAATCCACACAGGGGAGAAATTGTACATTTGTGACAAATGCGGGAAGAGTTTTTCCTACCTGAGGAATCTGAAAGATCACAAGTGTTACTATATGTAAAACCGATAGGCATAGCCTCTTATTGCGATGGACCACACTTGGTTTGAACAATTGTCTCGGCATTAAAAATGCATTTATAGGTCATTGAGTGGCATACTAACATATGAAGTGTACTCATTCGATTGATTGCCAAGGAAACCTTTTTTGAAGTATTTAATTTTAAACTTGACTTGTTTTTTTGAAATCAACTATGATTTTGGAAAATGAATAAACAGTTGCCTTTGTGGGGTAGAAAGACTTTGAGTGCATTGGCTGGTGGTCCAGTAACTGTTCAATGGAGCAGAATCGAATTTATTTGAGAAGGGTATACAGTGAGGGAAAAAAGTTTGATCCCCTGCTGATTTTGTACGTTTGCCCACTGACAAAGAAATGATCAGTCTATAATTTTAAAGGTAGGTTTATTTGAACAGTGAGAGACAGAAATAATAAAAAAAAAAAATCCAGAAAAACGCATGTCAAAAATGTTATAAATTGATTTGCATTTTAATGAGGGAAATAAGTATTTGACCCCCTCTCAATCAGAAAGATTTCTGGCTCCCAGGTGTCTTTTATACAGGTAATGAGCTGAGATTAGGAGCACACTCTCAGTTTGTTACCTGTATAAAAGACACCTGTCCACAGAAGCAATCAATCAAACTCTCCACCATGGCCAAGCATATGAGCTCTCCAAGGATGTCAGGGACAAGATTGTAGACCTACACAAGGCTGCAATGGGCTACAAGACCATCGCCAAGCAGCTTGGTGAGAAGGTGACAACAGTTGGTGCGATTATTCGCAAATGGAAGAAACACAAAATAACTGTCAATCTCCCTCTGCCTGGGGCTCCATGCAAGATCTCACCTCGTGGAGTTGCAATGATCATGAGAACGGTGAGGAATCAGCCTAGAACTACACGGGAGGATCTTGTCAATGATCTCAAGGCAGCTGGGACCATAGTCACCAAGAAAACAATTGGTAACACACTACGCCGTGAAGGACTGACATCCTGCAGCGCTCACAAGGTCCCCCTGCTCAAGAAAGCACATATACAGGGCCATCTGAAGTTTGCCAATGAACATCTGAATGATTCAGAGGAGAACTGGGTGAAAGTGTTGTGGTCAGATGAGACCAAAATCTCTTTGGCATCAACTCAACTCGCCGTGTTTGGAGGAGGAGGAATGCTGCCTATGACCCCAAGAACACCATCCCCACCGTCAAACATGGAGGTGAAAACATTATGCTTTGGGGGTGTTTTTCTGCTAAGGGGACAGGACAACTTCACCGCATCAAAGGGAGGATGGACGGTGCCATGTACCGTCAAATCTTGGGTGAGAACCTCCTTCCCTCAGCCAGGGCATTGAAAATGGGTCGTGGATGGGTATTCCAGCATGACATTGACCCAAAACACACGGCCAAGGCAACAAAGGAGTGGCTCAAAAAGAAGCACATTAAGATCCTGGAGTGGCCTAGCCAGTCTCCAGACCTTAATCCCATAGAAAATCTGTGGAGGGAGCTGAAGGTTCGAGTTGCCAAACGTCAGGCTCGAAACCTTAATGACTTGGAGAAGATCTGCAAAGAGGAGTGGGACAAAATCCCACCTGAGATGTGTGTAAACCTGGTGGCCAACTACAAGAAACCTCTGTGATTGCCAACAAGGGTTTTGCAGAGGGGTCAAATACTATTTTATTTTATTTATTTATTTTTTAAAATTTTCGGGGGGAATGGATCAGCTTAATATTGCAGATAGATTGATAGAAGATACAATGTAATTGTCTGCATCACTTCCAATCCCCCATTTTTTATATTTTATATATATACTCCCCTTTATTACTTTTCAACCCCACTATCCTTTCCCTACTTGGAGTAAATTAGTGAACAACAATGCCCAGGCCTCTACTTCCGGTCTATAATTACCATCTACACCTTATGGACAGAGTTAATTTTACAATAATTGTATTATATATATATTTTTTTGCTCCTGAACTTCTTCTACTCAACCTCTCCGATCATTTTCATGATGTCCATCCGGTTTGCTTCTATATGCCATATCTTTCTAACTGTGCTCTTTCCCAAAAGCTCCCAACATACAACCTATATACTTATTATGGACACAGTATGCTTACATGATTAGATATCTTTGTTATTATTTGTTGTTATTAGTCCCATCCTTCAACTCTATTCAATACCTCCCATCTATCTCTTAACACCATCCATATAGGATTTCTATTTGCCATATATATTTCAACTGTACTGTGATGTTTTACAAAAGTTCTGAACCTTTCTATTCTCATTGCTTCTACAGATTGTGAATTAAAAATAAACATTTTTGCTAAAAGTATTATTATATTATTGATTGATTGACTATGACTTTTCAGATCACCCAGTAATGCTATCTGCAAGGTTAGTTCCAGGTAAATATTGTAATCCTTTAGCCATTCCTGGACCTGTGTCCAAAAACAAGCTACAAATGGACAGAACCAAAACAAATGATCTAATGATTCTGTCTCTTCACAGCAAAATCTGCAGAGCTGGGAAGATTGTATCTCCCATATAAATAACATTCTATTGGTAGCAAGAATTTTATATAATAATTTAAATTGAAAGATTCTAATTTTTGAATCCGGTGTCGTTTTGCGTGTCAGTTCATAAACACTATGCCATGGGATCGGTACGTCAAAGATCTCTTCCCAACTATTTTGCAATCTATATGGGACGGCTGTCAATCCTTTGGTCCTTAAGTGAAACTGATATACTTTTTTATTTATCACAGTTTTTCTTAACCAATTATGTTCTTTAATGCAAGGCCGACAGACAAGTTCCTTACTTTCTCCCCTTCCACTTTCCTCTTCCACTTTTGCGGTAAGGCTGCAATTATTTGGTTGTAATTTTGGGTAGAGCAGACATTTCCATATGTTTTTGTTAGCTGCATGTGCGACATAACTCCACCAGTCCTACCGATGATATCATTTACGAAGATTATACCTTTTTTAAACATTCTGTCAAAAAATAAAGGTTTTTTGTCAATTAGTATATTTGAATTTAACCACAATATTTGTTGCATTATTTGTTCTGTCGTTTCTGGAGGATTAAATTGAAATTGCAACCAACTTTCTATGGCTTTGTTTTAGAAATAGTGACATTTGGGAGATTATTTCCTTTTCAAATAACTGAAAGTGAGAGGTTGTAATCTGAATAAAGGGAAAAAGGCCTTTCTTGAACATTGGGTGAAACAATCTTACTAATTTGCTTGAGAACCAGTTCGGATTTAAGTATAACTTTTGTATGACTGAAGCTTTTAGTGATAGGTCTAATGCTTTAATAATTTCTGTCCTCCAAATTCATATTCATTATATAAATATGCTCTTTTAATTTTGTCTGGTTTGCCGTTCCAAATAAAATTGAATATTTTTTTCTCATATAATTTAAAAAACTGTTCGCTAGGCGTCGGCAAGACCATAAGCAAATAGGTAAACTGGGATAATACTAAAGAGTTAATCAGGGTGATTTTTCTATTAAAATTTATTGAAGTGAGATCATTTATTTCCTTTGGGATATGTATTCCGAGTATATCCACATCACCATCAGACCATTTTATTGGTAAACTACATGGTAATGTAAAAATTGTATTTTTTAGTGATCCAATACGTAATATAGTACATTTGTCATAATTTGGTTGTAATCCAGAGAGGTTAGAAAATGTATCTAGATCCTCTATGAGGCTGTGGAGAGATTCAAGTTGTGGATTTAAAAGAAAACATGAATCATCAGCGTACAATGACACCTTTGTTTTTAAGCCCTGTATTTCTAAACCTCTGATATTATTATTGGATCTGATTTTAATAGCTAACATCTCGATGGCCACAATAAATAGATATGCCGATAGTGGACAACCTTGTTTCACTCCTCTTGACAGTTTAAAACTTTCTGAGAAATAGCCATTATTTACTATTTTACACCTAGGGTGACTATACATGATTTTGACCCATTTTATAAGAGATTCTCCAAAATTGAAATGCTCCAGGCATTTATATATAAACCCCAGTCTAACTTTATCAAATGCCTTTTTGAAGTCTGCTATGAATAGCAAGCCTGGTTTCCGTATTTTCCATAGTGTTCTATTGTTTCCAGTACTTGCCTTATATTATCTCCAATGTATCTTCCATGTAAAAAACCTGTCTGATTAGAATTAATAATATCCGACAATACCTTTTTAATTCTATGCGCTATACATTTTGCTAGGATTTTTGTATCACAACACTGAAGTGTAAGGGGCCTCCAATTTTGTAAATGGACTGGATCTTTATATTTTCCACTTGTATCCTGTTTCAGTAATAATGAGATCAGACCTTCTTGAGTGTCAGATAATCTACCATTTACATAGGAGTGGTTAAAACATGCTAATAACGGTCCTCTTAGTATATCAAAAAAGGTTTGGTATACCTCGACTGGTATGCCATCCAACCCTGGAGTTTTCCCGGACTTAAAGTCTTTAATTGCATCCAGAAGTTCCTCCTCTGTAATTTCACCTTCACATGAGTCTTTCTGTGTGGCTGTTAATTTGACATTATCAATAGAAAAAAATCTCTACAATTAGCTTCAGTTAGAGGAGATGGAGGCGACTGAAAAGAAAACATATGCTTAAAGTACTTTGTTTCTTCCTTCAAAATATCATTTGGTGAATTATGGGTGACTCCGTCAATTGTAACCAGTTTCATTAAGTTCTTTTTGGTAGCATTCCTATGTTGAAGATTAAAAAAGAATTTTGTGCATTTTTCCCCATATTCCATCCAGTTTGCTTTATTTTTATAATATATTACACTTGATCTTTCTTGAATAAGTTTCTCCATTTCTTTTTGTTTTTCCTCTAATTTATTCTGAGCCTCTATGTTACAGTTTTTATTGCCATCTATCTGTTCTGTTAGACTTTCTATTTCCTTTCTTAGTATAAACTCTTTTGACCTAAATTGCTTTTGTTTTCGAGATGAGTACTGAAATGCATGGCCTCTAAAGGCACATTTAAAGGTGTCCCATACAATAAGGGGATTCGCTGTACCTATGTTATGTTGGAAAAAGTCAGTTATAAATTCCTTTGTTCTAATTATAAATAAATTATCATCCAATAGGCTTTGATTAAATTTCCAATATCCTCGCCCACGTGGAAATTCAGTAAGAGTAATGTATATGCCTATTATATGATGGTCCGACCGCATTCTGTCCCCTATCAACACTTTTTTTACTTTTGGTGCCAACGAGAATGAGGTAAGAAAGAAGTCAAGACGACTAGCTTGATTCAGTCTCCGCCATGTATATCTCACTAGATCAGTATATTTAAGCCTCCATATATCT